AGAAGTCGTGTTTCATAGAGGGAAAAGGATGAAGTCATTATCCTTAAGCATCAGACAAAAATTCTAGGTAGATTTAAAAATTTTAATCATTAAATTATTATAGTTAGGGAAACAGAAAAAAACAAACAAGGATAATACACAAGATAAAACTTACTGTTTTTTTTAATTAAAAAAAATAATGATAATAATCTTAGGGTTACTATGAGTCAGAACCGACTCAATGGAGCTGACCAACAACAAATATTTATGAATAAAAATCTGTAAGTGCAACTAACCAAAAGACAAAATGAATACGAACTTAAGGTAAGTCATACACATCCATTAACAGGCTTGGTAAATAGCTCTTCAAGCAGGGCTAATAAAACAGGTGAACACTTGAAAAGAACCTGCATAAAAATGAACAAAAGTATGGTATGAGAAGAAAATAAAATGACACAGTTAACCACACAAAGCAATTGAATCTCATCTTGGGAACAGAAAAACATGAAATATTTCCCAAAAGACTTGCAGTAACTGTTATTGCTAAGTGCCACTGAGACATTTCTGATTGATTCATAGCAACCCCGTTTAGGGCTTCCAAGGAGTGGCTGCTGGGTTTGAACTTTCAAACTTGTGGTTACCAGTCCAGTGAGTCCAGTGCTTATCTTACAGCACCAAATTAGGATTCCTGGTGTGGTGCTGTGAGTTAATGTCTCCGACTGCAAATTCATTTGAACTGAAAGCTCAGCGGTTCAAGCTCACCAGCTACTCCTCGGAAACCCTATACAGGGTCGCTATGGGTCGGAACCAACTGGATGGCACTTAACAACAACAAAATACCAAAACATCCCAAGGAGCCTTACACCTCACTGTGAACAAATATAAATTCCTAAGAAAATTTTAAGTTAAAAAGCATGAAACTTTTTTTCTTTACATAAAAAGACAAGAATGAAAACACTGACAGTATTATATGAAGGAGTCACTGAAAGTCCATGAATACATTTTAGCAAGTATTTCTGATAAAAAAAAAAACTATGAGAGATTTTTTTTTCAGTCCTCAACACAGTAACTAATCAACGAAACCAAGAGCATAATCACAAAGCACAATACTAAAACCAGCCTACTATGGAATAAAGAAAAGGTGCTTGATACTAATAATAATTAGATTTTAAAAAAAAAGAGAAAAAATAGGGAAAGGTATAGAGTTTTCTAGTTTTAACAAGTACAGTATCCTTGCCCCGACAAATATCAGAGCATCCCAAGGCTTATAGTGACTAGAGACACAAAAGTATTTTTTGAAGGCTTACTGAGTTTCCAACTGATTCTCAATAATGACCACTAAGAAACATACTTAGAAAAATTCCAGCTTCAACTAGCAACACCTTTAAGAAATGTAATATCTACATGGAGATAGTACTGATTTTACATGCACATAAGAAAAAAAAAAAATTTTTTTTAAAGCAAAGATACCAATACCACCACTGTTCCTACAATTTCAATTTTACCCACAACTAACATATTAATCTGAAGTTACTGATTGAATGAGCATTTAATTTGAAAATATAAATGTAAGAATAGTCAAGAAGTTAAAAACAGAGCTTTTACATAAGTAGTGTAATGAATAGTACGTTCCTTGTGTAGAAATAAAGCAAAACATAAAGAACACAAGACTCCAAAACTAGATGTATATCTAACAGAAATTCAGTAGACGATGGCAGGAAATCTGGAATAAAGATAGATATTTAACACATATAAACATTCCAGATAAAGGCGCAAGCAGAGAAAACAAGGAAAATAAAAAGCAAATATGGGGAAATATTCCAGTGTGGAAAAGACCCATCATTGAAACCACAGGAAGTATACACTCACACACACACACACACACACACACACACACACACTATAAAGACATCATAAATAACAAAACAATAACTTCAAAGCAACAAAGGATTAACAAACTATTACAAAATGGGATTTTATAGGTGTATAGGCTTAACAAACACCTATGTTAACCACTACCCAGAGAAATCATATTTCAAGTTGGTTGTGACTCATAGAGACCCTGTATATGGGTTTCTAAGGCTGTGAATCTTTAACAGAACAGAACGCTTCATCTTTCTCCTGAAGAGCAACTAGTATTGTAATTGTTTGCCCTGAGGTTAGCAGCCCAGCTTGTAATCCGCTACTTTATCAGGGTTTGTTCATTGCATTAAATTTCCTGGTGTGTAGGATCAGCACTACACTGTCAAACTACAAGGTCAGCTGTTCAAACCCACCAGCTGCTCCTCAGAAACCCTATACAGGATCACTATGAGTTGGAACTGACTCAACAGCACTTAGCAACAATATCTCAAACTAACAGCTCAACTTCTGTGTCCCCAGTCATTCCCTGGGTATACTGTTATCAGTTACCAGCACAGATGCTAGACTGGGGATTCAGTCCCGCACTCTAACAGAAGGCAAAGATTCCGTTCTCTGTACCTTAAGGGGTCTTTTCCTCAATCCCATTTCATATAGCACTTCATGTTTTTCAGTGTTACTAACTACATTATCTTAGTTCATCTGTGAATGACTGTGTGGACTCTACAACAGGCCATGAATTCCTTGCTGGAAGACACAGTAGAGGACATCACTCATTTTCTTACTAGAATGCTGGTATTACAACATAAAGCAACCCCTAAAGTTTCAGGGAAGGAATCCAGATAGTGTTTGGCTGCTAACTGAAAGGCCAGTAGTTCAAACCCACTGCAGGAGAAAGACACAGTAGTCTGCTTCTGTAAAGATTGTTGATGTCATGTGCCGTGGAATCGATTCCGACTTAGAGAGACCCTGCATACGGTTTCCGAGGCTATAATCTTTACGGGAGCAGAAAGCCTCATCTTTCTCCTGTGGAACAGCTGGTAGTTTCGAACTGCTGACCTTGTGGTTCACAGCCCGATTCGTAACCACTACGGTACCAGATTAGACTTGGAAACACCAACCTTTCAGGTTAGCAACTAAGCACTATTTCATCACTATACAAGCAGGGACCCTTAACATCATTAGCTAGAAGTGTGTTTCTGATTCAATTAACAGACTATCAATAAGTTTAATACTACTACTAAATCTAAACCTAAGGTTGGCAGTTCAAACCCACTAGCTGTTCCTCAGAAACTCTATACAGGATCTCCACGAATTAGCACTGACTCAAAAATACTTACCAATGTTGTTGTTAAGTGCCGTGGAGTCGGTTCCGACCCATAGCGACCCTGTACAGGGTTTCCGAGGCTGTAAATCTTTACGGGAGCAGAACGCCTCATCTTTCTCCTGAGGAACAGCTGGTAGTTTCAAACTGCTGACCTTGCGGTTCACAGCCCGATTCGTAACCACTATGCTACCAGAGCTCCTTTACACCCTATTAATAATGTAATAAAATTAACTTTCTTTCTTAATAAAAGAGCAGAATAAAAAGGTGACTTTGAAAAATGTAAATGATAAATATATTTGTTTCATCATGGATTAACATCATGGAGCTGGTGATGTTACTCATAAGTACAAGATTATTTAAGAAATCATTCACTGTTGTTTCAATTGTCCTCAAATACATTCACCTTTGCTGTTTTGTTTTGTTTTTTAAAGCTCCTATGAGATTTCTTAAAATAGCTTCTGCTTATTTTCAGTTTCTAAAATGTCTTAATAATACATGTTCTTTAAAGACATTACTACCACCACCAATTCCCACAGTCTTTCAAATTAATCTGAGTTGACAGAAATCTGTTTTTCAGGGATAACCATAGGAATTTCCTATTTGGCTAGGAGCTTATCAAACTGCATATTTCAAAACAATAAAGCAGATTAGTGTAGTTTAAATGTAACTGAAGTCTAGTTTAATAGGCTTTTAAGCTAGAATTCTAGTATCAGGTAGATTTTATAGAATGAAAAACAAAAAGCATACCTTTATTTTTGCCAACATCTAAATCACACCAAGACTTTACCACGCTCTACTTTCCTTAAATGAAATTACATCGAGTAAAACACACCCTAAGAAACTAGGATATACTTTTAATAAACTGTTTCTACCCCAACCCTCATATATAATGTTATCATAATCAGAGATTTCATAAATTTGCTAAGTCACTTAGTAACATCAATAGGGAAAAATCTCAAACACTGTCAAAATACACTAAATTAAATGTCTACATGTAAATTAAGTTCTGCATTCACTTATGGATAGTGAAATGCTAATAAAGTGGCACTGGAACCTCAGGCACAAAAATCATACACAGACACAAGAAGGCTACAAATCCCATTCATGAAAGAATGCACCAAACACTTTAGCATTTATTATTTTTTAAGCAAATGACAAAGACCCAGTTCACCAGCTTTACTTTTAAAACCTAAGCTTAACATTACATATTTAAACAATTTTCAAAACTTGCTAAATTGCCAGCATTCATGCACAACTAGAAAACATCCTTAATTTTTATATTAAACCAGAAATGTATTACCATTAAATTATTAAATCTTCCACTACTCAATACTGAAAAACAAAACAAAAACAAAAAAACAAAAACAAATTATTTTTGTCGAAGATTCATTCTGGCAATGTTAACTTCACAGCAGACTGAAACGACTTGGCTCACATTTCAGACAGAATGAAAAAAGCAAGACCATGCTGGTGTTAGTGTACAATTTTCTCCTAGCTCTACTCAAGAATCACGGTTCACCTTGGATTAAGTTTAATAAAAACGCAAAGTGCATACATACATTTACAACAATTTTAAAGACAAAAAAAAAAAAAAAAAATGGTCCTATTAATGTGGTCCCAACAATAAACTCAAAAGTCTATGACAAATAGATGCTCCGATGAGCTGTTTATAAATACTTTAGGTTAGGGACAGTTATACTGAAAGTAGAGTTCGTTTGAAATCTTCAAAAAAATGTTCCTGTTAATCCTCAAATGGTGCTTGTAATAGTTTAACATTTCTGTTAAATGCGTGCGTTGAATTACTTGTTATCCAAGCGTAGCGGCTGCTCCTTACCATTTATTGTTAAGGACTTTAACTGGCCATTTTCTTCAACTTCTATTCTTTCTTGACCATTCTCAACAATTCTGCAGGATAAAATTTATTTTAAAACTTTTTTTTTTTTAAACAAACAAACATATCTGTGAATATATCTGCTCTTTCAAAAGGACATATCTACAATACACAAACATGAAATAACTAACTTTCAGACTGAAAACCAAAACAAGTCAACTGTTTCTTTCTTAAAAATAGATTTATATCATCAGAAAAAAGTTTTGCCGCAAATTCTATGCAGCTGAAGACTACACGGCGAGATACTATTATTCAACAAAAGTATTGTTTTGAAAAACTCTATTAACCATTCTAGCAATGTCAGGAAATCTTCTTGCGCATTATATATGAATGTGAGTAAAGATTACTTCTATTAAACAATATTAAGCAAAAGTTGTAGCTATCTAATTCACACATTCAATAAAAGATTCTCATGATGGGAAGTCACTGTGGCATCAAACAAATACTTATTTTAAAACAGATACTTAATACCACTGTACCTCTTTGTAATGATTTTTCTGCCATTAACTGTTTTAGTAGAAGTTGATATCGATTTGAAGTTGCCCATTCCACTACCACCAAATGATGTTGATGAGAATGAAGTAATACCCCCATGATCCAGTGAACTAAATGCAGTAAATCCTATAGGGAAACAGAATAGAAAGATGATTAGAAACCAATATACCAAATACTAATTTAATGCCAAAATCAACACCAAGTTTCAAAATTTAGGTCATCCAATAAAAGAAAGATGTGTGTATAACCAATGAGTAACAAAAGCCATAAACAAATGGATCAAAAGTACGTATGAGTCAGTATGCAAGTTGAACTGCCACAGTACCCAAGGGAAAGGAAGACTGACATACTTTCCTTTGACTCATTAAATGTGAAGTCTGCGGGAATCAAAGAGAACCAGCTATTTATTGAGTCATACATATCATATCCCCCCGCTTCATGCTCTCTTTCTCCTTTACTATTAGTGCTTTTTGGAACTTGCTGGCCTTCCCAACATGCAAAAGATTTGCCCTTTACTTATGGATAATCTACTTGGCACCATGCATTACAAGTGAAGCAATATGGCAATATGTGTCTTGATCTTACAGAAACAGAGTGACTTCACCTTCATATAATGGCATATCCAACTTCTAGTAACCTTTTCCTTGCACAGTGACCACAAAGGATTATAATCTACAAGAGTCATTATTATCACCATTTCTCACTAAATTTAGCCCATCTCTTATGTTTTAAGACAGGGTGGCTATAAAAAGTAGTTAATACTTACTTGTCCTACCCCCCAAATACCTACCTATAAAACAAATATCTAATATACTATAAGCATGATACAATTACCTGGGCTCACACACTGTTTATAACCAGTGATGTACAAAAGAAATACAACTGTTAATAGAAATTTGCATTTACTGTTGGACCAAATATATAATTTTAGAATTATACATTTTTAATTGCCTCATTAAGAAACATAAAAAGAGCACAGTTAACTTTAATATGGCATTTTACTTTAATCCATTATCTAAAGTAATGTAATTTCAACATGTAACATAAAAAACTGGGATGTCACATTTTCATACCAAATCTTCAAAATCCAGCACATAGTTTGCAAATATAACATTAACAAGAACCAAACCCATCGCTGTCAAGTGGATTCTGACCCCTTGTGTTACACAATAGAATAGCTCCACAGTTTTCTTGGCTATGATCTTTATAGAAGCAGATCACCAGATCCTTCTTTCATAGCACAGCTGGATGGGTTTGAACTACCAACCTTTACGGTTAATTGGTATTGTTGCCATTAAGTGCCATCAACTCTATTCTGACTCACAGCAACCCTGTATAAGGTTACTGAGGAGCAGCTGGTAGGTTTGAACCACATGCGGACCTTGCAGTACAGTGCTTATCATAACAGCATCATACTAGAGTTAATAGTTGAGCTCAAACCATTTGATCTAACATAATTTTATATGTATAACGCATTTCAATTTGGACTGACCACACACACTTCAAGCGCTCAGAAGCTACATGCAGCTAGTGGCTACTGTACTGAATAGTACAAATCTAAAGTGGGCCTGGGCTCACACAATAGTTACAAACTTTGAGGGTAGGGACCACTTTCCCTTTACACACTCTACTAACCCACTTATCAGTCAGTCATTTCATAAACGAAATACTGTGTTCCAGATATTTTTACTATCCAAGTTCAGTTACTCTCCCTTAGCCTGTGATTAGCATAAGACTGGTATCTCATGTAAGAATTTGTTCAAGGACAGTATATAAAGATTGCTCTCTTATTAAAGTCCAACCTTATGGGCAGGCAATATGGCTAAATATTAGATATGTGCACAATATTAGAAAGGAAGCAAAACTGGAACTGTATTACAAAAAGAGCAGAGCGTATAACAAGCATGGCCAATTCTCACCACAGAGACTTAAAACTAAAAATGAGATCATCAGAAAAAACTCATCCAGCAAAGAAAGAAGTATATTGGCTTCCTATAAAATAGAGGTAGCAGATAAAGGTTCTAATTCTTCAGGTAAAACAAACAATTATATCATGATGTATACATGTTATCCCAGTTTATAAACTGCTTTTACATAAATTAACCATAAACAACTGTGTGTGTGGTAGAGCAATTACTAATAATTACAAATCACTAGGCAGTGAGTGGGATGGGAAAAAAAAAAAAATCACGGATCCCCAGTTCAAACTCACCAGTTACTCCACAAAAGAAGATGAGGCTGCTGTCTGCTTTCATAAAGATTTACAGTCTCAACCCAATGAAAAACTTCTACTCTAGCCCTACAAGTGTCACTATGAGTCAGAATCGACTTGAGAAAAACCAACACTCAGAGATTAGCTTGTTGTTGTTGTCAAGTGCCATCGAGTCGATTCTGACCCATAGCAACCCTGTATAGGGTTTCCAAAGAGCAGCTGGTGAGCTTGAACCGCCAACCTTGCAGTTCAAACAGCTTAAAGCCCAACCTCTGATTCCTTCAAGCTGTGTTGTACTACTACACTGCCCTTCCCAAATAACATGTGTGCCTTCACATATATACATATTTTTTAACCACAAAGGCACATTTACTGAAATTATCTAAGTGGGTATTTCTGCACTTATTTACCTGCAAAGCCCATTACCACTTTTAACAAAATAATTCAATTTTGACTTTTAATGTAAGATTGGTGGTGGTAGTTATGTGCCATGGGAGTCAGTTCCGACTCATAGCGGCCCTGTATAAAGTTTCCGAGGCTATAAATCTTCACAAGAGCAGAAAGCCTCGTCTTTCTTCCATGGAACCACTGGAAGTTTTAAACTACTGACCTTGAGATTAGCAGCCCGACACATAACCACTACGCTACCAGAGCTCCTAAATAGTAAGATTAAAAGTGGGTTTGTAAGTGTAAAATTCTTTGGCAGCTGAGGAAAAAATGTAGTTTATTAATCACATACTTGCGATATGCAAAACAATGCTGACAAATCTACTAAAAGAAAAATCGTATTTCAAATCTTCTCTAATTAAAACGAAAGTTTTTTAAGAACTGATTTTTGTTTATAGACACAGAAAGTCAAACTAGGGATATAGTACCTGTATCAAAAGAAGGAAATCCACCTCCAAAAGATGGAAACCCACTGAAGGCAGACAAAAAGGATCCTGCACCTCGGTTTCGACTCCCACGGGGGCCTCTGCGATTCCCAAAAAAATCATCAAATGGATTTTCTGAAAGCAAGCAAAAATGTGTACTGTAAAATCTTTTTTATGTTTGTTTCTTTCATGAGATATCTGAAAAGAGAAAAAAATTGATTCATGCCTTGCAACATACTATTCCATTTGGGATAAAAACCTTTCTAGTAAGTTACAAAGCCCACCTCCCCAAACTGCTTTACTTACAAGTTTAACTACAGAAAGCTAGAATGCATTATACAATACACAACCAGACTTTTAAGACAATACATATACAACAATGTAAAATTTTGGATCACATGATTTTAAAAATATAATCTTTAACATCATGTTATGTTAGACACTATTCCTGTTGATACTGTGGGAGGAGTCGAGGCAGTATGAACTCAGTCAAATTTCACTGAGCCTGCACTGCCTCCTCCAAAGTAGCTCAGCAATAAATACACAAAAAATAGACTATTTTAACATACATACATATATGAAGAAATACCTAGAGAATGGTAAAGCATATAGGACAAAATGCAAACAACTGGTGAATTTGGGTCAAGAATTTTGATGATTCCTTTTAATTTTCTGTTACATATTATTGTGCTTATGTCAACAGAAAATTACTGACACAAAAATAAACATCATCCCCACCCAGTCTCCTCCAGATGGTGGCTGTTTATGCTGGACGTGTGGCCAAAGACGGGTAAGGATCACGTGGAACCTCGGCAACCTAAGACAGAGCCATTGCCATACTGCAATGAGTTTCGATGACAGGTAAGATGGAGGAATTAGCACTGACCGCCTAAGACAGGCAGCGTCCCTTAAACAAATAATAAATAAGGGGGAATCTGTGGCAGACAGTGCAGACCCAGTCAGGAGCTGAAGACCCTGTGGGCCCAAACGTTGCAGACCGTCCAAACCATAGGCTCTGAGGATCAGACTTTGGTCACCTAGCAGACATAGCAAACTGGCCCTCATCTGATTATTCAGTATGCTTGCTAGTAATCTTATACATGAGCCCTGGAATATCCACAGATAAATGTAAAAACCTTCCCTAGAAGCCGAGACGGTAAAGTCCAAAAAGGCAAAGTTTTTCCATCCCCCACCCCCACCCCCAAAAAAAGCTAAAGAGCATAGAGAGAAACACTGGTAACTGTGGTATATGGAGGGGATTATAATCAATGTAATGAAACAAGTTATATGAATGGTTGAATGTGAAACTGATGTTGCGCCCTGTAAACTTTCACTCAATCCACAATAAAAACCTTAAATTAAATAAATAAATAAACATCATATTGCTACTGGAGATGTCAAAATGCTACTAAAAGTAAAACAGGATTAGTTTCCTTTTTTATAAGTCAATCAAGTACTTATTGAAAACTAAAATATTAATTATAAAAACCACTATTTCTCCTTATTTACCTAAGTTCTATTTAATTAGAAAAACAAACATACATGAGAAATAGAAATAAGAAATCCTGATGGGCGGATAAAATATAATCAATCTATGCAGGTGAAACAGAAAAGTAATCCATGACACAAAAGTCAAAAAATGAATATTTGTTGTTCTTAAGTGCCAAGTCGGTTCTAACTCATAGCAACCCTTGTCTAGGGTTTCCAAGAGATGGCTGGTGAGTATGAACCACTGAACTTGTGACCCAAATCAACCTTGAGGTCAAGTGCTTATCCTATGGGGCCATACCAGGACTCCAAGATCTAGCATAACAGAGAGATAAAGAGTATCTGGAAATAAACAGTTGATACCATTAGAATAATAATTATAAGACGGATTAAATGCAAAAAGTTACCACACAATGTGCACTGAAACCCAAGCGGAAATAATGACATATAAGAGACAGCACCTGAAGTGCTTAAAAACTTCTGAAGGCAGTGAGTGGAAAGGTCATCAAGAATAACAAAACAGAAAATTCAAGTCTGGGGTCACCAAAAGTAGTAGTCTGTAAATGATTTACAAAATCAAAATAAAGCTCATTGCCACTTTGCCAATCCATCTCACTGGGGGGATCTTCCTCTTTTTCTCTGACCCTCCAGAAGAATACAGGGTAGACACATGTTAACTTGGGTGATGGGGAAGGCAATACGTAACATGAGAGAAGTTAGAAGAAGAAAGATGAAGGTAGCAGAGGACACAGGGAGGAATGCAAGAGTTACAGTGAACAGACATAAATATTGTTAACTGATGGTACATGGAGGGGATTGTAATCATTGTAATGACATGAAGTGTATGATTTGTTCAATGTGAAACTGATGATCTAGTCTGTAAACTTTCAATTTATAATAAAAAGTTAAAAAAAAAAAAAAAAGAGAGACACTACTGCAATAAGCAGTGGACTCTATCCACAATGTCAATGGTTCAAACCCACCAGCCACTTCTCGGAAATCCTACTCAGGGTCGATCTGAGTCAGAACCAACTCAAATGCACATAACAATTATGAACAGAAACTTAGTACTTGTTGTAAAGCGCCATCGAATCGGTGCCGACTCATAGTGACACTGTCTATATAGGGTTTCCAAGGAGTAGCTGGTATGTTTGAACTGCTGACCTTACGGATCAAATTGACCTTGCAGTCCCAGTGCATTATCCCACAGTGCCACACCAAGAACTCCTAAACTCTATCTAACACTGTATCACTTCAAATTAAGGAAAATGAAGCCTAGAGAAGGAAACACTAAGAACACTTTCATTGAAGGCTTGTTAAAAGATCTAGGAAAGAAAAAGCAGAGAGGAAGGAAAGGTGTGTGTGTGTATTGGTATCACCTGAAAACCTAATGCAGAGGCCTAAACTTGCTATACCTAAACTCGGAACATGGAGTTTTGTTTTGCTTTTGAAACACAAGTAACTTTTTAAGAACTTAATGCTAGCAAGAAATTAACTCCAAAATATTACAGCTTTTTATCAGTTTGCCCCCATATCCCATGGTAAATGCCCCCCGTTATAAGCTACTTCGTACACAGGTCTTCCTGGTTCATTTTAACAATATTTAAACAACAATATGTTAAATCGTTTTATGATTGAGTTTTTCAGAGGCTACAAGACTTCCCTCCAATTCAAATAAAATCCAAATGTTCTATTTAAGTAACTTTTAAACTTATTGCACCATGGTCCAGAAACAATGCTACACATCAATTCGGACAGTTTTCTATATATCAGAGCCAAGAAATGATATTAATGCTCTTAACTGCCATCTAGGTTAAGAAATGTAAACAAGAGAAACACAGTTATAACATATTGTCTAATAATTATCCCATTTTTCACCATAAGAAGGAATCTGGTATTTTAACATTTTTATGCTCCGCCTTATACATTTATTGGCCATATAGGAATCAATAAATACTGAAGATTCTAAAACTTTAATTACATTGAATCTTTGTGGTATTGTCCTTCTGCAACTGACTTTTACCACTGCTATTTAAGATATGAAATGTAGTTATACTTTTTTTTTTAGTTCATATGACAACTAAATCCTTTTAAGTTGTTCACAAGGCTCTTAAGCAAATATATGGTATCACTAATAAACAAATAACATACATAGAAATAGTTTTGTTCACAAGCTAAATTAAGACAAAGACTTTCATATTTATAGAATCAACTTCTTTAAGGTAACTACTTCAAAGGATGGTTTAAAAGTATAATAAAAAGGTCAGTGGCTTTTCCTTGAAGTGAAACAACCCTCTTTTATCTTACTTCTCCATTGATATTTGGATGACTTTTGAAATTTCAGGTACTTAGTGAATTTTAACTCACATAATTTCAAATACTAAATTCACAAAGGCAGAATATAACAGGCACAGCAATGCTATGAAACATTTTTTAACAGCTGTCATACTTATGATGTAGTTAAAATCTGCCTTTGTTAGTTAAAACAAATAGTACATATAAAACTTTCTATCACATGCTGATCCATATTTTTTGCTCTTAAGTAAACTAGCAGTACATATCAAGAGTGTCAAAAACTTTCCACAGTAAAAATAAAAATAATTTTTAAAACAAAACATTCAATCCTTTGACCCCACAATTGTATTTCAGGGAATTCAATTCATCCCAAACAGAGAAATAACGTATTGCAGTACGAGTTCAAAGAACTACTTAAACTGAAAACTAAACCTGTCACAGAGTAAATGCAGAACATATTAAACATATGCTTAAAAGTTCATAGAGATTAAGTTTTTAACAAAGGTATAACATGCCACCACTATTACCTGCTAATTGCTGAGAAAGCAAAAGGAGTCCGACTGTTCCTTCTGTATCTACATTTTCCACAATCTTAGCACATATATTACATTCTTGAGATTTTAAAGAACTAATACTTTATAATTTAGAATACATGAATAAATGAAAAATTATTGCTACTAGGGTTCTAGTTCATATACACATGAGTTTATTCCAAAGGAAACACCTTTAGACATGTCTCTGCAACCAATGGATGTTGCAGACAAATTCTCTCAATATTAATACACTTGTGTTAGTTTCTTTACGGTGACTTCCAAACAATAAAAGGTTCCATCAAAACAGTAAACTTTCAAGGGGATCTGTTGGGCCAGTACAACTCAAGAAAGGCAGGTCCGCTCAGAAGGTAACAATCACTGTTCTTAGGCATTCAAAAGGGGTAATATCTTGATAAATTTCTTGAAGAACTTAGGGTGGTCATGGGGAGTTTTTACAAAGAAATTTTCAGAAAATTGAAAACTGCTTTAGTAATGTAAAAAAAAAAAAGGACCAGAAAAGATGCAACAAGGAATTGCTTTGTATCACAACAACACATCTGCTCATTCTTCCAGGGTAGCAGGGGTTATCCTACGAGAATTTCACTGGAAAACTGTCCACCCTACAGTCCTGATTGGGCCCTTTTAGATTCCACCTCCCCTCCTCCCCGAAAAAGGAACACAATTTGAGTCCATCGAGGATGCCAAAACTGTCTTTTAGATGTAACTGATGTAAATTATAGAGTGCAGAATGTATTCAGGAAAGGCTAGACAGATGTGGAATTACCATCTTTAGAAGTGTATAGACCTAGTTGGAGGATATGTTAAGAAACAACAGTTTCACATTTGATTTTTGTTGTTTAACAAATGTTTCTATGATTTTGTACTAGTATTTTTTATTTACTCTCATACTGAAATTTGGTACAGTCTCCAAGAAAAGCTCATTAGCAGTCAAACAACTAAATCTCTTCCAACATGAAAGAAGTAGAAAAAATAAAAGCAATACTCATAATTCTCCCTCATTTATTTAATACCATTTGCTTGCTCTATAGAAAAATCTTTAAATTTATGTGTACAAGATTGTATTTTTAATATTTAACTGGAAACCAGTTTAATACATGTTTTTATGTGGCTTTAATGTCCACTCCTTACATTCTTTTAAATTATATGAGAGAGAAAAATTTTGTCTTAAAATAATCAAGAAACGTTACAAACATAATCATGGTAGTGGTGGGTTTGGTGTGCCAAGTCAGTTCTCACTGATTTCCTTGCAGCAAATCTTTATAGTAGCAGGAAGTCTCATCTTTCTCCTGCAGAATGGCTGGTGGATTCGAACTGCTGACCTTGTGGTTAGCAGCCTAACTGTGCCAGTTTCAGACCACAAGTCCCTATGTAAGATTTAACTTAATCTCATTAGGCTTTTACCATTTCCATCTGTTATCCTTTTGCTAATGACTAACTTTCAAGACTTCCCCCTCTCAAAATAGGCTGCTTGTAAACTAACACCCACTACCATACAGCTGATTCCAACTCAGTGACCCGATAGGGCAGAGCAGAATTGCTCCACATAGCTTTCAACTTTGGAAGTTTTCAAAATTATGTACATTTTTACGGAAGCAAGCCTTTCTCTCAAACATCTGCTTAAGAGTTCAAACCTTTCGGTTAGTAGCTCAATGCTTAACCCATTGCACCACCAGAGAGTCTTGCTTCTAAGCTTCCAAACTTTAGGAACTCCTAAAGGCTAGGGGAACACACCTAAGTAAATCTATCAGGAAAATCAATTCCAAGTAAAAGGCAACTTTACAGGACATTTATGCTTCCTGGGTTACCCCCATCTTTTTTTTCAGTCATCTCCATGATAGTTTGGACTATCTGACCAAGCACAGCATCAACGAATATACTCGAATAAAAAACTTTTATTCTAGATATACTTTATATAGGTTAAAGTTTATAAACCAGAGACCCAATGTAGTTTCTTTTTAAATTTATTAAACAAGTAGTGCCTCAAGTTCCGCTGTGCTGCATTCTTCCTCGCTAAGCAGTTCTTCATATTCTTCACTCAGTTCTTCCACATCGCTGTAACTTGCTTCACCCTCACTGGATACGAGTTCCAACTCCTCACTAAGAACTTCACCCTGTCCCCAGCTATTGACTTCACTTGGTTCTTCTTCACTAAAGATATCAAGTTCCTCACTGGAAATCACATCCAAAAGCTCACTGTTATCTTCACTTGGAATGTCTTCTACTGTCTCCTCAAAACCAGGCTGATCTAATTCTTCACTAGGCTCCAACTCCTCACTTGTCAATTCCTCGAACCCTGGGAGAGTATGTCAAAATTTAAATAATGGCTCAGAAAAAGTTAAACTATAATCCTCAAATTATACTCCCCTCCAAAAATATGCTTTTCTTTGAAAATTACATCATAATATTTATCCATTCCAGCATTAACTTTTCATTCAAAACAGCTTATAGACTTGATAAAGAAAATTTTTTTTTTGTTTTGGCTCAAGTGAGAAAACAACTATGTAAAAATATAAAACTTTTATTTATATATATATACTTGAGTTATGCCCATACAATTTTCCAAAACTAAAACTACTGCTATGGCTCTAACAGGATCAAAAGTTTCTATTAGGTTTCTGCTTTTTTTTTTTTTTAAATCTTAGAACATCTATTCTACTGAATACTGCTACACTATACACACAGGAATGATTATGATTCCAGTTAGTGAAATCACTATTAAATAATCTTTCCAATTGATATTCTGACAAGTACTCATTTTTGCATGCTCCATATTCTGGAAAGAATGTAAACAAGTTAAGTTAGCTTCATCCTGGAGCCAGTGGTATTCAGTGCTCACTTTAGAATCAACCTCTATTCATTTCCTGGAACTTGAATATCAAGGATGACTTCAACACTAAAAGGAGCTCCTGATCTAAGATGACTTTGCTGCAGTGTAGTAATTCCGCAGAGCTTGGCGCTCAGACATAGCACTGCTTACAGGCTGTGCAATGCCTTTCACATACAAATTTCTTTCCCCATTAGCTTTCTTGGAGATTTCTTCCTACTTAATTTAAGGATCCTACATAAACCCTGGTATATTCTCTATTTTGATAAACACAAAGCATAGCGTTGAAATATTTCACAAGTTTTGAACTTGAGAAACTCATACATGATGAAGAAACAGTTGGTACTGAGAAAAATGAAAAACAAAAAATTAATTTGCTACGATAAATGGACATTGCCAATAGGTTGCACAAATAGTATATGGGTGCTGCAGAATCACTGCAATCACTAAAAGGCACACACTCCCAGCTCTAGGTGTACTCAACTCTCCACTAAACATACCACCAGCAGACTGGACAGTTACTTCATACATGTGGTAGCCATGGAGAAGCTTCTTTTCCTGTGTGTAAATCCTTACTGCCTGAAAATGGAAGTCACCTACAACACCTACAAGAACGGATTAAAGAAGAATCACTGCCAAACTTATCAAAGTCAAAATATGGGAAATGTGTATTTTAAATTTGAGCATCTCAATACCAAAAGCTAAGTGCCTTACAGTCTAAAATTATAATACTGGTATACGGGACTCTGTGTTGTTAAAACTCTCCACCAAAATGTCTATGTATTACATAATCCTTCTAAGTGAAATACACATGCACAGTTTCCTTATATAAAATTTCACAACTTAAAAAAATATATGAATCTTTACCAAGAATTGTTTAAAGAACCCAAGACCATAGCCCTTAGTCACCCTGCAGGACTACAAATGAACTCACCCACTGACTCAATTTTCAGGTGCGGGGGAGGTCTATAAGGTGAACTATAGGGAAGGATACACTCCTTACACCAATCAAACATTTGAGATTAAATTTGCCCAAGGACAAAGCTCAAAAGGCCAAAAGGGTTAACTTAATAACGGAGGAAGAACGGTGACAGGTTACAGGGTAGAAGTGACATCATACTATGGAACTGCAAGAACATGAAATCAAATTAGTATCAACTGTTAAATGGGATACTATTTCTGTCAGTTACTCTCACATAATAAAAAGCTAAAAAAAACCCCAACAACAACAAAAAACTGCTCAAGGAACCTTGGCCTGTCAAATATTTTCCCCAAGAAAAACAAAAACTCAACAAAGTAACTCTTCCCTTTTATTCCATTTTTTAAACATCATATAAAACATGTTCAAAATGCCTAGCTTCAGCCTCTGAGGTAAACAGTGTAATTTTCCTCACTGCTACCATCACAACTCTCCAAGATGTGTAACTCTAGAACTGAAATACAAGGCGTAATGAGAAGTATAGGACCTTCTTTCTCACACTGCTCTTTCTCTATAAACCCAGTAACGATAAAATGGTAATTTGCTAAAGGCTTTAATAAGAACAAAGTGTCCTTTTCTTCAAAGGAAAGACCAACCAGTAAATTCTTTGTGCCTTAATTACAGTAAGATTTCTTGGCTATATGAAGGGCAATTAATAAAGTATACAAACATGTATCGCATCTTATTAATATTTACAGTAACCCTTTTTTCAGTAAATATTTCTATGTTAACTGTGGTGGTGGAGGTGGTGGTGGCTTTGTGTCATTGAGTCATCATAGCAACTCTGTATAGGGTTTATAGGGTTTCTAAGGCTGTAAATCTTTACAGGAACAGAAAGTCTCAACTTTTTTCCATGCAGTGACTGATACATTTTAATTGCTGACCTTGCGGTTAGTCTAGCTAGAAGCTGAAATTAAAGCAGAGAGAATCTTCATATCACACTGCAGATAGTTCCTTTCTCTACACCCCCATTTGAATGTTCCTTTCTATTAGTTTAGCTAATATACACTAATGGCCATTCCATTAATCAGTAAGGTACTGTTTTTAAAACATCAGGCTATGCCATATTTCAAAAAAAAAGAAAATTTTGTTTCAGTCTCAATTCTGAGATAAATGACTGTATCATTTAAAAAGCCTAATACCTACCAGATAAAGAAGTGCTTTAATTCCTCCTCTTCATGCCTATGATTGGTAGGAGGGGGTTCCACTTGTTTGCCCTGTATTCTTTGAAGACAAAATTGCTCTTCTTTTTCCCTCCGGAGAGGTTGCATCTGGTATTCAATCTCTTCAGCAAGGCTCCAGGAAATGAAGAAGGAAAACACAGAATGTGTTTTCCCTCAGTGAGCCAAGACAAAAATGGCTATTAACAGCACAGATTTTAGCCCTGACCTTCCAAAAAACTGATTCAGTGCATTAAACTCACTAACAGTTCCAACAGTCAAGACCAAGATAAGAGAGGAAGCGCTAACAACCACTAACAAGAGATCCTGGCACTCCACTTGTATCTGAGACATATATTGAAACTTAGTAACAGGTATTCGCAATAAGCGATCCATTACATGATAAATTCATACAAAAATTGGTTTTAAATTACCTAATTTGAAACTGAAAAAGGAAGTTAAATCGGGGCCATACATGACATGAAAACCCTTTATTTTTAATGCACAAGTTGTAAATTGAGAAAAATATTTCAAAGAGTCACTGAAAAAGAGTTTTCACTCTTACACTGAAAGTTTACATGACAAGATTCAGTAGTAATCTAAGAGAAGCATTATTAGTCCTTATGTAGGTTATACATACAAACTACTACACAGACGATGAACTTACCAAAGAAGTCAAATGAAAATGGGTCCCTTCCACCAAAAAATTCCCTGAAGACATCCTCTGGATTTCGGAATGTGAAGCCAAACTCAAATGGACTGCCAAAATGACTTCCGCCTATACAAACACAGCACAATTTTACTTTATGAATTTCAGTGTTTTGTAAACGAGCATTTAGAGAACATTAAATAAAAGCATTACCAAAATAAAGGAAAATACTTCATAAATCTGAGGCTCTCTAAAACTCAAAATAATGAGCTCTGGCTTGATTAATGGTATGTCTGAGGCTAATAAAACTATATTGAGATTTCAGAGTTCCTGAATTTCACAGTAGCTATCTCTTCTTACATTTTTTCATATTTTGGTATAATATCAAGTACTGATCTAAGGGTTCAAACTGAAAATACATTAAAGATACAAATTATTTTATTATCTACAGAAGACTTATTAATTAGTATATAGCTCCAACTCTAACAACAGATTCTAATCCTTACCCCGCCCTTCCCATGCAGATCACTTTGTCTAGACTGCATCTTTATTTATTGCTACAACATAAAACTCTAAAAGAACTCACTAAATTTGTCAAGATTTTTATCTCCAGATCACCTCTTCTCATCATTAAGAATCAAAGGAAAAAAATTCACAATGAAATTTTAATTAAAAACTACATACCTCCACCTCCATTTAATCCTTCTTTGCCGTATTTGTCATAGATGTCCCGTTTTTTAGCTATAATTAAAATTAAAAAAAAAAAAAAGTCAATGTATCAAGGCAAGTTTTTCTCCCTCAAAACTCAATAGAAAAGAAATTTCCCATGTTGTAAATCAAAGAACCCAATGCAGTTTAAAAATTTTTCACAATTATAAGGTGCTAACCCAGTCCTTACCCTTAAAAGAATATTTAAAAGCTATTTCAAGTTTTATGTGTTATAAATCTTTGAAAGTTATTATACATATTAAAATATTATTTAACTAGATTCAATTACTTCCCTTAGCCATTAAAGTCAATTACAAAGTTATAAGAAAGACAGGGCTAGATGAAGGTAGAAAATTGTTTGTTATGTGCCATCAATTCAGTTCCATCTGACACACAGCAACCCTGGATACTGTTTTTGAGGAGTAGTTGGTGGGCTTACTTATCCTTTATTGCCACAGATATACAAAAAGTCAGAAAAGGAACTAATCCGAAATCCTGTAGGACTAACCAAACAACAGGGAGATGATTAATGGCCTACTAATACTATCATATGCATTCTACAATAAAATTAACTAAAATGCAGCCCTGTCTACATGAAATTATTTTTGAAGCTCCCCTCCCCAAATACCTCGTATTATGAAAAACCTGCACTAAAGTAAAAGGGTCTTTTGAGGAAAATAGTTTTAAGGCAAGCTATTTGAAATTTTTGTTAACTAGCTCTGGTAGTGTAGTGGTTATGAGTTGGGCTGCCAGCCGCAAGGTCAGCAGTTTGAAACTATCAGCGGTTCTGCAGGAAAAAGATGAGGTGTTCTGCTCCCAAAGATTTACAGTCTTGGAAACCCTGTGGAGGGTCACTATGAGTCAGAACCAACTCCATGGTACTTAACAACATCAGAGATCTAGTAAACAGCAATTACCTTTGAAGATAATTAGAACAGAGTAGGTGGAACAAGAGGCAACTCACTATGGACACATGAAAAATAAACCCTTGTTAAAAAAGAATAAAACAGAAACAAACTGTTTATGGTACTTTACAGGTTCCGTTTCTGTCAAATGTGAAATTTCAGTTTTATTCTCAATTTTTTCTAGTGCTATTAAAAATCCATGAAACTCATAAATGCACATAAAATATTAGTATCTGGAAATACTGTATCAACAAGCTAAAAATAAATGTTAATCAAGATGAAATGGTCTTTAATAATGGTCCAGTTAAAAAGTGTGAACTAAAAGATACACCTAAAAATTTGAGCTATTGGGGCCCCCAGCGTCAATTAGAAGAAAGGCCTAGCTATCTACTTCCAATCACCACTCATCTGTCAGTTTTTCATACTGTGGTGGTTTTGTGTGTTGCTGTGATTCTGGAAGCAAAGGCTTTTGACTATGGATAATGATAAACTACAGACAACATTACAGAGTATGAGTATTTCAGAACACTTAATTGAGCTCATGAGGAACCTATACATAGACCAAGAAACAGAACAAGGGAACACCGAATGATTTAAAATTTGGAAAGGTGTGCGCCATGGTTGTATTCTTTCAGCATACTTCTTCAATCTGTACGCTGAGCAAATAATCCCAGAAACCAGATTATACGAAGAAAAACATGGCGTCAGGATTGGAGGAAGACTCATTAACAACCTAAGTATGTAGGTGATACAACCTTGCTTGCTGAAAGCGAAGAGGACTTAAAATAATTACTGATAAATATCAAAGACCACAGCCTTCAGTATGGGTTGCATCTCAATATAAGGAAAACAAAAATCCTCACCACTGGACCAATAAACAATGCCCGAATATATGAAGTAAAGATTAAAGTTGTCCAAGACTTCATTTCATTCAGATCTACCATCAACACTCACAGAAGTAGCAGTGAAGAAGTCAATTAACATACTGCATTAGACAAGTCTCTTTAAAGTGTTGAAGAACAAAGCAATCAGTTTGACATCTGACCCAAGCCATGGTGTCTTCAATAACTTCACATGTATGTGAAAGTTGGACAGTGAATAAGGAAGACTAGAAGAATTGATGCATCTGAGTTACGGTATTGGAGGAGAGTATTCAAAATAACCATGGTGGTTGGTGGTTATGTGCCATGGAGTCGGTTCCAACTCATAGCAACCCTGTACAGGGTTTGCAAGGCTGTCCATCTTTACGGGAGCAAAAAGCCTCATGTTTCTCAGGAGAAACAACTGGTAGTTTCAAACTGCTGGTCTTGCAGTTTGCAGTCCTATTTGTAACCACTACAATACCAGAGCTCCTTTTTAAGGATTTTAGGGCCCTAAAAAAGCCACATGTTTTCTCTGTGGTGCAACTTCTTCCTCTTGGTTTCTGAGAGCACCAGACACTCAGGAATGATACAGAATCACACCCTCTCCTCTGTACAACCAGATGATACGAAAACACACAATATTTCACAGTTGTGAAACTGCTGAGTTTATTTTACTACTTCAGTAAGTCTCTTAAAGTTGTTACAAAATGGAGTGGTGGTGGTGGTTATGTGCTGTAGAGTCGGGTCCAACACATACCCACCGTGCACAGGCTTTCCAAGGCTGTAAATCTTTATAGGAGTAGAAAGCCTCATCTTTCTCCCATGGAACAGTTAGTAGTTTCGAACTGCTGACCCTGAGGGTAGCGCCCCGATTCATAATCACTACACTATCAGAGCTGCTTAGACTGCCAAAAGAACAAATCCATCTGTGTTTGTAAGTCTGTCTTCTGCCTATTAACAGACTGGAATACCTAAAATGGGGCTATAACGTGCCTAGTGAAAGAGGCTTCCTGCAGGGCCTCTGCATTACATAAGACCATAGGTGGAATCCTGAACCCCATCCAGAATGTTCTGAGGTGGGAAATTTCCACTTGAAAGGAAAAGCCAACCAGCCTGGAGTGGCTAGGAAGAACAGAAAATACTTCTTGAGAGAAAGACCGCCAGGGAAAATACAAACAATTAACAGCAGTCCGACTGATTATTACAAGAACAAGCAAGTTGCTCGCCCTGGAGATATCAAGACAAGTGGTCAGGTCCCCTCGGGGCAAACCCCCTTCAACCTCCTTCCAAGACTAAGACTCAATGGGAATACATGCTCTGATTGGTGACCACATTCGTCACCAATAAGGGGAAATGAGGGGAAAATAGCAATGAAGCTGTGAGCTAAGCCCTACAACGTTCAATAGACTCCTCTGAACCCGGGTGACCTGGCTGTCCAGCAGTGTGGCAAGACCTGGGGACTCTTGGGCCCAGAGTCAGTGACATAGCCACAGAGGACTAGAGGGGAGAGTGAAGCATCCAGCTGATAAAAAGAGAGGGCATATGCACAAGAACACCCACACTTGCAGCTAATATCCACTTGACCTGGCTTCAGCGACTGGATGATCAGAGATCAACTAATAAAGGAAAAAAAAGAGTAATCTGATACAATTTGATGAACATGACCTACACCTATGGATGCAATAGCTCAAAAGAGGGAACAAACCTTTACAGCGAGGATCATTCCCACCCCCTCCAAACACAGATTAGACAGGGATGGGCAACTTGGACACTGGCTACCCAAAGTGGGGGGGCTACAAAGGCACGAAGTTACTGGCTTACAAGTTTTCAAGAGGGAGCTTAGTTTCAGAGGGTGCAGGGGAAGGAAGAATCTCCACTGAGTGGTTTCCAAGCTGTCTGGATAGGGCTGGTGAAAGGAGATAGGGATAAGACTCTTGTGGTTCAATAGTGAATGACTGCTATCAAGACTGACTGTGAGTGTTGTTTCGAAAGGTAAAGATAGTCATTTTGTTAACAAAAGAAGGGGAATGGTTGATCTTGCAGTCCAGGAGGAGAGGACCCCACCAAGGGAAAAGAGCAGAGTGCAGGACCCTATATTTAGAGATGGAGGCAGAGATGGATGATGTGGAGAGACTGAGTTGCCAGGGACTCTAGACTCAAGGAAGGAAAGGGGCTGTGTGCCGGCGGTCGGGGGCAGGCTTGCTGGGTATGCCCTTTGGTTGTTTGAATGATTACATATTCCTGAGTGTTTTGGTGTACATCCCATCTACCCCACCCGACCCCCGACACCCACCCCCCCACAAAAAAAATTAAAAAAAGAGCGAAAAGAAGCAAATAATGATGAATGATGATGCATGGAGGGAGTTGTAATCAATGCAGTGCAATGCAATACGGTAAGATGAATGTAAAGCTGATATTCTCCCATGTAAACTATCACTCAATTCACAATAAAAACTTTAAATTGTTTCCTCAGTGTACTGGATTGAAAGTGATGGGCAATTTAGCCACTGGCTATCAATAATGTGTGTGGGGGTGGGGTGGGGTGGCTATAAAGGCAGGAAGTGGCTAGCTTACAAGCCTTCATGAATGTGCTTAGTATCAGAAGAATGAGGCAGTTAAGGCACATCCCCACTAAATAGTTTTCCTCTTTCTTTATGGATCTGGTTAAAGGAGATGGGGGATGATGGTGAGAGGATTTTATGATTCAACTATGAGTTAACTGTTAAAGCAGGATTAATTCTGATTGTCACAACTGTAATTGTAGAAGATGCACAACTAAAAGGAGTAGTTAATATTTCATTTCAGAAACAGATGATCCCAGGATCAAGAAAGAAGTGCATGAGATCTCTACATAGAAAAGTAGCAAAGAAAGACATGGTGGCATGGAAAGCCAGAGCTGCTGCAGGCTCTACGCTGGCTTGCAGAATGTGCCCTTAGGATATTTAAATGAATATATTTTTTGTTTCACTATTTTGTTCATTTGTGAAATAAAAGATGTAAAAGGGAAGTCACATGGAAGAAGGTGGATAACTGTTGTTGCAGGGAGGAGATTGTAATCATGGAGATGACACAGTTAAGTACCAGGAGGGGAAAAAAATTACAATCCTAGGAAAGGATTGTAATTGAAATCTTTTCTAAGAGAAGATTATTAAAATGAAGGCACTTTCTTAAGCTAAAAGAATGGGGGAGTTACAAGAGTGGATGTCCCATCAATTAAGGTTACAAAGTTGGCACCTTCCGTGTACTGTACTACTGTCTATCTGTAACTTTGGGCATAAGTTTTGCTGCTTGCTGACTTTGTGAGAACTTCTGACCATACATAATCGTGACGGGGCTATCTTAAGAGACACTCAAAACAAGTTCATCAGATAGGGAATCTAGTTGGAGTGTTAATGTGGTATGCGGTAGGGTAAGTGCTAAACTGTTAACTGTAAAATAGGCAGTTCAAACCTACCAACTGCTCCCTGGAAAATTTATGCAGGGTCGTTGTGAGTCAGAACCAACTCGATGACATTTAACAACAATATCATCTAGTTGTAGTTTTTTTGTTGAAATCTTTGTCACTTTGTATCTCTGATAATGGCATTATAAAGGATTAACTTGAGATACAGTTAAAACAGAATCTTCTTGCATTAATAAACTCAAACAGAACCGGATCTGTTGCTGCACGTGTGTTTAAACTCCAACTATATGGAAGCACTGCAGAATAAGGACTGCTGGATGACAGTTAAGGCTATCGTGGCTCCTATAAAGATTTACAACTTCGGAAGCCTTACGGATTTCTGACGCAGCACTGTAGGATCAGCATTGGACTGTGAACCACAAGGTCAGCAGTTCAAACCCACCGGCTACTCCTCGGAAATCCTCAATGACACTTAACAACAATAAGTGCAGTGGGTTGGGATTTGGATAATAATATAATTAAAAGTACAATACAAACAGGTCACAGTTGAATTGCATCCTTAAAAAAATTACCACCATTACCATGAAGTTAGAAGAAATGGATAGTATTCGGCTACCATTACTGAATGTTTTTTATCAAGGACCCAATAGATGGATCCTAATCAGAAAGAGGAAAAGCATGGAACAGAACTTCAAACTCACATGGAAATCAGGCTAGAGGAACCCAAAATCTAATGCCCAGAAATAATATTTAAATCTTGCACTGTGACGATCAATAAACAACAGTTTAGCTCTATTAATAATAATGCAGGCACAGCACTCTTAAAAAAAAATTGTCTAGAGTGCAAACTGACAGAAGTTCTTCTGCAGCACACCTGAAAAGTTTAAGGGGCAGAAACAACAGAATGGGAAATACACAACCAATGGTATTGAACCAATGATACTGAATAAATATTCATGTAGAAAATTGAAGTAGAAGCACTTTTTGCCGTTTATACTCCCATCAAAAAATAATTTTATAAATAAATTTAAATTTTTATAAATAAAATAAAAAAGTTCTTTACCCAGAGAATTTTTTTAAAACCTAATTTCCCCCAAAATGTGAGTTAAGACCCAAGAGTATCAAAAGAAGTTTCAGTTAAAGTTAAAAGGTGCTTTATGATTTCACATAATTTTAACTTACACTATCAAAAACCTTTCTGCCATATCACTATCAGAGCAAGAAGGTTTGGGGGAGGACTTTTGTTAACTTTCTCATCTTCCTACTCCTTTTTACTTTATGAACTCTCTCCTCAACTTTTCTTCTTAGTCCTTCCAGTGGTCTTAACATACATATTGTTAAAACTACACTTGCAGAGTCTTCTCACATCTTTTGACACGATATAAAGAAATTTTAATTTGGGGATGACAGTAACTGAAATTTGTTATAAATTGGTAATTCCACGTTTTATGAAAACATTATGGTATCATCTGGGGGTACTACCACATCCACCCACATTTTATTAGTAAGGATCATATTTAAGATTATTGATGCTTAGAAGCTATACTAATTTAAATGCTTATGGCTGATGATTTCACCTACTAATGATGCCATCAGCGAAATTCAATAAAATACTTCTACATACAAAATGAAAAAACTCTGACCACTCCAATGGGCAGTCGTAGTCTTTTCAAGTAGTGCAAAACAAACACACATATATTACAAAGGAGATGGAAAGAGACTATCACCAACATAAACAGTGACAAAGATTTCAAGTGACCTCAGATCTCTTCTTTATTCCTCAAACCTCAGGTACCAGATACTCTCGTCCATAATATTCAGGTTAACTGTATCAAATGACTGACAAGAATATGAGATTCAAGACTTCAAGAAAAAATATAAAGCTTTGTTCTCAGTGGTCCCAAAATTCAACTGGTCAAGGATAATCATTTTTGTACATACTCTCCTGGTCCTGAGTATGATTCTAATGCTTCTTCCCTACTCGCATCAGCTCATTCAAAGACTTAACAAGTTCAGTATTACTTACCATCTGATAACACCTCATATGCCTCAGCTACTTGTTTGAATTTTCTCTCTGCCTCTTCCTTATTCTCAGGATTTTTATCAGGATGCCACTTCAGTGCCAATTTACGGTATCTAGAAAAGAATATAGAATACAGTTGAAGGCATTCAAATACTGAAATCCACTGGGCTTTTAAAATTCATAGAATCAAGCAATAAAACGGCTTCAGAACTACCAACGGGTAAGATTAAGCATTGAATTTTAATTATAAAATATTTTCCCTAAAAACAAAATAAACTCTAAATTCCAGATTATTATAAGGCTAATATTGCACATAAGGAACTCTGGTAGCATAGTGGTTATGAATTGGGCTGCTAACGTCAAGGCCAGCAGTTCAAAACTACCAGCTGTTCCGTGGGAGAAAGAGGATGCATTCTGCTACCGTAAAGATTTACAGCCTCGGAAACTATGTGCAGGGTCACTTTGAGTCGGAACCGACTCCATGGTACTTAACAACAATATTGCACATAAAATTTTTGAAGTAGAAAAATGTCAAGATGTACAAGGACCAAAATGTCTAAAACATGGATTCAATGGTGATTAGTCTAAGAAAGTACATGTAAAAAAAAGGAGTTGACAACTCAGCAAAGAGACTCTGACCATGATAGCCTTTATCCTTATTTTGTGATTACTATCAACATCTTTTTCCTAATTCAGCCCATTACTTAATACACTATCATGTCAAATTAAGAGTCAACAGTCACAATCGGGATCAGGAGATGGAAAGGGGCTGAGGACTATGGAGGGAGGGGGTGCAGGTTTACAGGGTACACCCCCCTTGGTTGGGTGAGGATGCATGGAAGGAATGGTAACTATGCCAATGAAATAATGGATGATGGAATGAATGTAAAGTTGATGTTCTCCCATGTAGACTATCACACAATTCACAATAAAACATTTAAAATGAATAAAGAATAAATAAATAAATAAATAAAATAAAGACCATAGAGAAAACCAAAAAAAAAAAAGTCAACAGTCACAATATTATCAAATTTTTTCTCTGATCTGGATTCAATACGACTCACTTTATAATCTAAAATAGTTAAAACACTGACGTCTGCATATATCCTATGACTAAGATTATATGCAGTTCTAAGGTTTCAATATAAAATAACTATTACATGCTTTTCCGATACATTACCTGGTGTAGTACTGAATGATAAGCACTGGACTGCAGTCTGTTTGCACTACAAGGTGGGGCTCAAACCCACTAGAGTATCTCCTCAGAAACCCTATACAGGGTCACTATGAGCCAGGACCAACTGGATAACTAGATGGCACTTAACAACAGCATTGGGGGGGGGGGAGGCATGGCTGAATTTTTTATGCCTGGCAAGTCTTTACTGTAAGGCTGTTGTGGTCACTTTAATTTTCAACATTTTAAAACAAAAATTTTGGCTTCTAAGATAAGTCATACTAGTATCTCAATAAAATGGGAATTTTTAATACTAAAAGAGTATTTTATTCTTTTATCACGGTGCATCTACATGTAAAAGTAGACCAAATCATTAATGGTGTCATGAATCCTCAACAAAAATCTCAACAATATTAACAACAACAAAAAAATAATTTGTACAAGTGCCAGTCATCTAATGTGCCAATGACTTGATTCTGACCCACAGCAACCCTGTATGTATGGTTTTCAAGAGCGGCTGGTGAGCATGAACCACAGACCTTGAGGTTCAAACCTATGCAATCCAACACATTAATCTACAGCATCACACCAGGACTCTTACAGGATACTAAAAAAAAAAAAAAATTGAACCAAGGAATATAAAATAAAATACAGTAAGTGTAAAAATATGAAACGCCTTTTAAAGATTTAGGTTTTGGCTCTATATACCAATTGTTGTTGTTGTTGTTGTTAAGTACCGTGGAGTCAGTTCCGACTCATAGTGACCCTGCACAGGGTTTCCGAGGCTATAAATCTTTACGGGAGCAGAATGCCTCCTCTTTCTCCCGCAGAACCACTGGTAGTTTCCAACTGCTGACCTTGAGGTTAGCAACCCGATTTGTAACCATTACGCTACCAGAGCTCCTTCTATATACCAGTACTCTGACATAAATGAGAGCACACTAGTATTCAAATGGAGCACATGATCTGTGATTCAAATTCCGCTAAGATTCTCAGTGCCGCTAGAGAAACAGAAGCTTGTACATCCTTAACACTCAAAGTCTGCTTGTCTGCAATACTAAAACCACTCTACTATTACATACCACCTGTGCCTATCATTTTGCTCACTTTTAAAAAGACTAAATCTGGTCTACGTCACTATTTATACAACTGTACACTAATAAGGACTCCTAGTTTGGCGCTGGAGGATCAGCACTGGACTGTGAACCACAAAGTTGGCAGTTCCAACCCACAAGTGCTTCTCAGAATCTTATACAGGGTCACTATGAGTCAGAATCAACCACCGCACTTAAACACTAATAAGAAAACCTTGTTACTTTTAAAAGGTAGTAACTTCTTCTTAATTTATACATCATCTGGTATGGTGCTATAGGATAAATGTTGTTGTTGTTGTGTGCCGTGGAGTCAGTTCTGACTCATAGCGACCCTGTACAGGGTTTCCAAGGCTGTAAATCTTTACGAGAGCAGAATGCCTCATCTTTCTCCCATGGAACAGCTGGTAGTTTCGAACTGCTGACCTTTTAGTTCACAGCGCAATTTGTAACCACTACGCTACCAGAGCTCCTTAGCTGAGTAGGATAAATACTCAACTGCAATGTCAGTTTGAACCACAACACAAGGTCAGTGGTTCAAACTCACCAGCCGTTCCTCGGAAACCCTATACAGGGCCGCTAGGAGTCAGAACCAACTCAACAGCATTTTAAACAACAACATTCACCCTGAAGTTCATAAACAGGTAAGCTAACCTGAAGCAAGTGATTATCTCTAGTATAATTGAAGGGATGTTATTATACCATTAATGAAAATATTGCACATAACTCAGTAGTCTATTCAAGATAAAATTTTTGCAACTACCTCTTTATCACATAATCTGTTAAACTGTTATCAGCTATTGACTGTATGGACTCCAGGTGTGGTGCTGCAGGATAAGCAGTGGACTGGCAAATCACAAGATAGGAAGTTCAAACCCATCAGCTGCTCTTTGGAAACCCAATTAAGGGCTCTGGTAGCGTAGTGGTTACGAATCGGGCTGCGAACCTTAAGGTCAGCGGTTCGAAACTACCAGCTGCTCCGCGGGAGAAAGACGACGCTTTCTACTCCCGTAAAGATTTACACCCTCGGAAACCCTGTACAGGGTCGCTATGGGTCGGAACCGACTCGATGGCACATAACAACAACAACAACAACAACGATTCGAAACCAACTCAACAGCACTTAACAACAACACTGACAGTCACCAGTCATAAGAACAATGTGGACCTAAAGTATGCATCAGCTCCCATGTGGGTGCCAACTACTGTGTAAGATAGACACTGAACTGTGAACCACAAGGTCTGTTCAGGGTCAGAGCCCACCAGACACTCTGCAGAAGTTGAGGCTTTTTATTCCCACAAAGATTTACAATTCTGGAAACCCAATGGGTAGCTATGTTGTTGTTGTTAAGTGCCATCGAGTCGGTTCCGACCCATAGTGACCCTGTACAGGGTTTCCGAGGCTGTCAATCTTTACGGGAGCAGAAAGCCTCATCTTTCTCCCGTGGAGCGGCTGGTAGTTCGAACCTTAAGGTTCGCAGCCCGATTCGTAACCGCTACGCTACCAGAGCTCCTTAATGGGTAGCTATAGGTAGGCTCAAACTCCACAGCACTTAACGACAACAAAAACGAAAGGTTAGTGATGTAAGTTTGCCCTAGTACAGTGCTGTGGATTAATGCACTAGGCTGCAAAGTTAAGTATGAACCATACGGTTGGTGGTTCAAGCTCAACAGTAACCGCACAGCAGCCCTATTAACTTAACAACATGGCAGTTAACAACAGAGGCAATTCAGAAGAAAAATATGGTATCTATTTTTGAAAAATGAGCCACTGAAAACTCTATGGAGCCTTCTTCTACTGATCACAAGTTAGAATCAACTTAATAGCAACTGGTTTTAAAAGTATACATCACTTCACAATAAAACATTAAAAAAAAAAAAAGTATACATCACATGCAATATTGCATGAGAAAACCACAAATTCCACTAGTGACATAAACACTAACCCAATTCATTTTGTCTTCTTAGTATCTTGTGAAAAGAATGATTCCAAGTTGGTGCACTAGCTTAGACACAGGAATGCACACAACACAGAAACCATCGTAACTCAGCACTTGAACTATGAACTATGAAGACCTGGTGTGTCACTACAAGATAAGCACTGGACCACAAGGGCAGTTTGAATCACAAGGTTGGTGATTCAAACTCACCAGCTACTACTCCTTGGAAACTCTATACAGGGTCCCTGTGAGTAGGAACTGACTTGCTGACTGACGCTTAACAACAGCAACATTTAGCTCCCAAACAAAAATCTTTGTTTCCATATAAACATCCACCATAAATATAATAATGATGTTAAGTGCAGTCAATAATTGCGACCCTGATAAGGTTTTCAATGTTATCTTAAAAGATAGTTTACCTTTCTGTACATAAAAAAATCAAAGAGACAATTCAAAATATGATAAAACATTTCAATGGTGATGATTATATTAACTTATTATCTATTAATAATATTTATTATTAACAATGGACTTTTGGTATGGCACTGTAGGATCAGCACTGAACTGTGAACCACAAGGTATGTATGCAGTTCAAACCCACCATCTGCTCCTCTGAAACTCCATAGAGGGTTGCTATGCGTCAGAACCAACTTGACGGCACGTAACAACAACATTATTAATAACAAGGTCTACGATAAGCACTAGATTACTAACAGCAAAACTGGGTATTCAAACCCAACAGCCACTCCTTGGAAACTCCATACAGGGTTGTTATGAGTCTAAAACAACTGCACTCAACAATCACAATAATAATGGAGCACTGCTAACTATAGGGTCAGCAGTCTAAATCCACCAGACACTCGGCTGGAGAAACATGAGGCTTTCTGCTCTCATAGACATGTATGGCCTTGGAAACACTACACAGGGTCACAGGGTCACTAACTCAAGAGCACCATCAAAAAAAAACAACAGTAATAATACTTTGATGTGCATCACAAAATAGCACCCATATGGGAACCACTGTATGTACCTTGAATTTTTAATATAATAGGCTTTAGAGGATTTAGTTCATAATCACAAATTGGGGACTGCCTGTACTGTATATTCATCATTGTTGTTGTTGTTAAGTGCCGTCGAGTCAGTTCCGACCCATAGCGACCCTGTACAGGGTTTCCGAGGGTGTAAATCTGTACGGGAGTAGAA